TATATTCACAGCTACAATAAACCAAACAGCCCGTAGGTGCGTACTCATGTCATTTCAAAAACATATTTTTTCTCAGGATTAAATTGCATCTAAATGTCAGTTGGTGTGAATGCTTGGCCTGACTGATCTTAGCAAATGAATATATTGATATCAAGCAGAGTAATACTCCAAGTAGATCAGTAGAGGATTTTGTAGAGTCAAGTAAAGTTGAAGCTGAAGTTTGGATTTTGTGGAGCAGCTCCCAGTTTTGTAGCAAGTGACAGATCTAAATCTAAAAGTTGTTTTACTTGTCATTAGGTTGAGGTGTACAATGTCTGTCTCACTTCTTTGAGATCTGAAGTGACTCCTTATTTTTTCTCCCTCCTCCTCTTCTTAGAGTTATAGACTGTGTGTGTGTGTGTGTGTGTGTGTGAGAGAGAGAGATGATGTGTTTATTTGTGGATGTGCTCAGAGCTCTGCTGACAAAAGGACAAGGCAAAATGTACTTTTAGGACCCAGTGACTGGCCTCTATCAGCCCTTCATTGTCATCACCTCCCTGCAGTTGTTCCACAGGTCAAGAGGCTTTAATGTGAGGGGCATCACTTTTCACCATCTCAGCCCTCTCAAATACTCAGGTACTGGTTTTAATAGGATATAGGCTACCATTTCTTAAATGAAAACACAAATAAATGTTCTTAACTGTTTCTTAAAGTACTCATAAAAATGGGGAATTTTACTGTTTCTTTAAAAGGGTTCCACATTAAAGACAGGCATACTTGGTTACATGCCTACCAATAGTCCCCGAGAAAGTCCAGGATACAAATATCACACCCTCGTCAGGTCAAAGGAAAGGTCAACAAGGTCTTCTCATGCGTCATCACACACTTCAACTTTGTCAGACAACTTAGCGTGATTTAGGTTCACCACCAGATAACTGAGATTTTATAGTTGTTTTCTGAGTCAGATCTTGTTGCCCTAAGAGTTACTTGTGGATCAGATACTCTATGTCCAGTTTAGCAGTGCCACAGCATTTTTTATCTTAACGCAGAAACTGTGATAAAGAGCAGCATCTGCAAAATATAACTGGAATCCATTCTTTTGTATTGTATGCAAGCTGTACCTGAGGAAGATTTTGATAGTTACAGATACAAAAGGGGAAAAAAAACAAAAGAAAATGAGACTCTTTTTGTTAGTTTTTTATTTATTTATTTAGTTTTCATCTACAGTATCACTAAAGTCATGTAGAAGTAATTGCTAAAGGTCAAAAGAGGCTATGTTTTACCAACACATTTATGTTTATCATTCAGGAAAGATCAATACAATACTGTTGTTTTAAAGAACAAAAGCCAGGGGAGACTTAACACTGACCTTTGCTTCCATTTTCCATTGTTTTCAGGAGGACCAAGAAAACATACAAATGAGGCCCTCGGGTTCCTCTAGAAACAAAAGGGTTCTTAAAGTGCTTGGTGGTTGGTTAAGTATAAAAAACAAACAAACAAACAAAACAAAAAAGACTTGTAACTAATTTGGTGCAGATTTCTCTCCGTTGCTGGGCTGTTGTTGTTCTATACTCTCCTAAAAGGTTAACGGATCTTCATAAAACACATAAATATCAACCTGAATGCACAAATTATAAAGTCAACCTGATATTTCATGTATACTGTGCTTGTCATTGTGCACCTGTTCAGCAAGAGCTCATTCAATAACTATGAGCAGCTTGAATGGCATTTGTAAGTTGTTATTACATAATTTGCTCTTCTTTACTGTCATTTTAGGCACCGCTGGCAACCTGGTCTGCTAGAAATTACATTTCACCAAATGCCACTTTCATCTGTTGTCCCACAGTTATGTAACTGCAATACAATATCTGCTTATAGTAAGCATGGTAAAAGTGGCACGTGGTATGACTGTGGATCAGTGGGTAGAGCAGTTGTCTCCCAACCGGAAGGTCGCAGGTTCAAATCTAGGTGCAGGCAGTTCACGTGTTGAAGTGTCCTTGGGCAAGACACTGAACCCCCCCCCATTGCCCCCGATGGTTACAGCCATTGGTTGAGGTGGCGCCGCAGATGGCTGCCTCAGTTCTGTACCAGAAACAAATTCCTTGTGTGTAACATACTTGGCCAAATAAACGTGATTATCATGGTGACATGGTTACATCATTAAACGAAGCCAGTCTTTCCCCAACTTTAACCAAAGTCCATTTGTTATCCAA